GGGTAGATCTCATTTTAACTCGTGTCATCATGGTGCTCGTTTGACAATATTCTACAATTGAACAATATGATGTATGTTATTTTTCCCCCTTTGTTTTGAAACCGTACAGATACGAAGCTGTCTTCTATGGCACTTGGTCTTGTACTAATTGCATGGGTTTTATTTGAAAACTCACTTCTTTCTTGAGTAAAGTGAAAATTCTTCTGCTTCAGGGAAGAATTTGGAAGCAAGTGTCTCACTTGAAAGCAATGATAGATATTGCAGCTGTCTGATATGAGAATTCCGTTAACCTTTGTGAGTCATCTTTCAATACATGTTCTATTGTTCTTCATTATTTGCATATGAATTTGTTATTCATGTATTTCTTTTGAGGAGCTGTGATTGCTATAGGCACTTTATGTACTCGTACTCTGAGTTTTGATACTGGCATGGTTAAAAGTTCTTATTTTTCCTTTTATTTAGAGGATGTTGGAGGTCATATCCCCATAAACATGTGTCAAGCATGAGTATTTTAAAAGTCGGAACAACATAGATTCACTTAGTTTAGAGGATATTAAAGTTTGTAATCTTGGTGCTGATGGATTGTCCTTGGTAGATGGTTTTTTAACGTGGCTTTCTTTGGCACTGGAAATTTCGCAAGTATTGCTAGTTTCGAGATTTCATCTGTCTACAGGTTCATCACTGTTTTCAGTGTAAGTCATGGTTAAACCACAATGTATCTTTTATGATTTCTTCTTGGATCCCTGCTGAACTGATTTACTTTCAATTGCAGCCCTTTCTGATGGCAGCACTCCTTATCTTCAAGTTATTCATACCATTCCTTCTTGTCATGTAAGTATTCGGTTTCAGAAAGATGTCAGATCGATCAATGATGCTTCGGTGACACTGGCTTCATGACCATTGTTTTTCAGCCATGCATGCTACTTTCCTTTTGAATCTGTCTATGGGCTATTATTAAATTTGATCTCTGTTTAGTCTTTAATCATTGCACGTTATCTTTAGAAGCTTCATTGTGGCTTCATAACTAAGGTGACGTGTTTAATCTCTGTTTCCCATACAAAAATGCAAGGTGAAATTTGGTTCGTATCGATATGTTGGGAGTATTATTGATTTAAAACTATAATAATTTTTGGTGAGCAATTGAGGGTTTTGCTTTTGGAATGTAGAAAATGCTAAGACGCCCCTTTTCATAAATAATGTTCTCAATATCTTAGAAATATCTTTTATTTTCTCATTTGTTGTTTTATGTTCTTTGAGAAACACAGATGTGCATTCAGTGCAATAACCAAACTACTTAAAGTTCCACGGATAGGGTGCTACTTCCTCGTTATTCTGTGTTCAGACATGATGACCATCCACTTCTTCTTCCTGGTATTAAGACATTTCAGAAATAAAGTTTGTTGCAGCTTATTCTTTTGATTGATATTTTAGCCTCTTTTTAACCTTGTTTTGCTTGAAAGTAGAGGAAATTATGTGAGATCACCTCGTATGTTATAGTTATTTCCTGAGGACCTCACCGATCGCTATTCGGGTTGTTAACAGGTGAAAAACACGGGGAGCTGGATGGAGATTGGTAATAGCATCAGCCATTTCGGAATCATGAGTGCCCAAGTTGTGTTTGTGCTGCTACTTTTTGCTCTCACAAATATATACACGAAAGACATTGAAATCAGATCAGCTAGTCGAGATCCTCGAAAAGTAATGTGATTGGTGAGAAACTAGAGCTCGTTGGAATTATAAAGAGCTAATCAAATTTATTTGCAAGGTGAGATCTTAGACTTTCAGACCATTGATGCAAGCCATGGATTTAAACTTTGTTTCTTGCATTTCAAAATTGAAGTTGATATGAGAAACATTTTGACTCTTCCCATTGATGCAAGGTCAGCTTTGTATTAACAGACATGAGAAACATATAGATTAATGGGATTTTCCACCTTCCCATTCATTGATATGAATCATTTTGACTCTTTTAAATTGAAGTTGGCTTGTTTTCTGATGTACTTTTTTTTAAAGATGGGTTTTAGTCATAGATAATGGCTTGTTTCTAAGGAATTCAAATTATTAAAAGTGGGCATCATGGGACCTTCTCACAAAGGAAATCTCTCTATTGATCAAAAGGGTCAAATTTACTTATTGGTCGTTACATTTATATACTTTATAGATAACAATCATGATTCTAAGACCGACAATAACATGCATAAGGACTCGGTTTATAAATCTAGTATTGAGCAAGAAGGGGATATTATTCTCTCTCTTACTCCATTTTACACTCTTCAAATCTTCATAAAAACGATTACCGACCAACTATCATATCTCCATCGGCTGTATTTTGAATCCAAATTAAAATGAGTACCTCCTAGACTTAATAACCACATTTTCCATCAACATGGCCCTTACATTTGTATGTCGTGCATCAACGTCACCATAGACGCCTAAAGAAACTTAAACGAAAAGACGTTTACCGCTGACTAAACCATTATCCAATTCCTTAGCATCTTCTCTGATGCCGACATTCGCTTTTTTTCCAAGTCGTAAATTCCAGGAAACTGCTCTTGTCTACTTTATATGTTATAATAATATTATACCATTGACTTGCTCAATCAAAGGTCTCCTCCAACAATACTAATCAAAGATCAAAATCAGTGGCAAACAAATGAACCAACACCTGTAAGTAATCACTTTCATTCTTTTTTTTTCTGTTTTGATTTGCTTAACTTGTTTATAACTACAGATTCTGCAGTGGGTTAGAGGTTGCTAGCTTCATTGTCAGCTCTGGGTTGCTCAGACTTTCTGGGCTAAAATCTTGGATTGTTATGTGGGATTCAACCAAAATGAGCCAAGAAATTCTGGGTTTTCATTAAGATGGAAATGTTATGCAGAAGCTAATGTTAACGTCATTGTTTTCATTACTTCTCCTATTTGTACCAAATCTCACCTTCAAACTCAAAAGAATCGATTCCTTCTACGGCTAATAAGGAGAGTTTTCGAGTCTTTGAATTCCTCTGCAACAACGGCAACTCTTTCTGTATCCATAAAGCAGCAATTTCCCTTTTGATGATCACTTTGACGAGCTCTTGCAGTTGAAAACTCAGGTTGGTCTCTTTCTGATACTTGCTTGTAGTCTTTGTAAAGATTGGATCAAGTGTACAACCCACATTTTGGGGTTACTTCAAGTTTTCAGCTGAGTCAAACAGCTAAAATAGTGCGAGTTCCATACAAGATGAAATGAATCTAATTGGTACATTTTGGGGTTACTTTTAAGTTCAATGTTTAAACTTTTGCATCTACTTCAGGCTGTAACAATTTCCATGTTAATAACAATCTCTAATTAATGCAGTGTGGAAGGAGTGCCAAGCCCTTAATTTTAACAGGGAATTCATTAGGGGGATCAATTGCCTCACTCTTCACCTTATGGGTGCTTGAAAGTCTTGATATATCGACGGTGAAACGGCCCCTCTGTCTCACGTTCGGGTCACCTCTCCTCGGTGACAAAGGGTTCCAACAAGCCATTTCACAACATCCTACATGGAATTCATGTTTCCTCCATGTTGCTGCAACAAGCAAAGACTCCATCCCAGGACTCTTCATTGTTCCATCCCATTATCTTAATTCCGCGATTGAAGCTTCTAAATACGGTCATTACAAGCCTTTTGGTACCTTTCTTTTATGCTGTGAAAACGGATGTGCTTGCTCTGAGAACCCAGAAGCTGTCTCTGAGGTACTGATGCTGTTCAGAACGGAAGCTGCTGCCAACGAAGAACGGACGATCGATGTTTATGGCAGGATAGTTGAACAACTCGAGTCAGTGATAATCCGTCAAGGCATCTCACAGCTTGGTAAGCCGATGTTGAGTTCGCTTCAAGATGGAACAACCTTGCTAATAGAAGCTATTAGAACACGAAAAGAACAGGTAGATCGAAGTTCTTTCTATTGTATGGAATGTTGTTCCGATTCTTCATTTCTCCATATTCGAACATCTTACATATACAGTAGTCCAAGTAGCATAGCTTATAACTGTCTATAATCTAACTTTGTAGAATCATCAGCAAAAAAGCAATGAATTGGACAACCTGATCAAGAAACTGGAAGAATTGGAAGTGACATGTATGTTGAACAAGAGGAAGGTATTTGACCCTGCAAAGAAACTAAATGACATGAAAATAAAAATGGCATTTCTAGAATGGTATAAGAAGTGTGACAAGGTTAAAGAAATTGGTTACTATGATTTTTACAAGAACCGGTCAGCTCGATCGGATCACGATATCACCAAGCACAAGAAATTCCTCACGAAAAACTGGGAAAAAAATCGTTGCCCAAGCCGAGAAAAAGCCTCAGAAACAACTGGTTCACCTTGAATCACGGTGGCTGTATTCCGGTACAACATGTCGGAGAATGATCGAGCCACTCGATATAGCGGACTACTACCGAAATGGCGGAAGGAACTATGTGACTAACGGCAGACCGCATCATTACATCAAGTTGGAGCAATGGTTGGAAGAAGACGAGAGACAGAGCGGGGTTTCAGTCGACAGCAAGCAGAAACAAAGTGTGGATGTTATTCTAACGTACGATTCTTGCTTTTGGGCTCAAGTCGAAGAGGCTCGAATACGCTGCAAATCAATGGAGGCTGTGGATATCGAGTTCGAAGAGAGGGAGTCTTCAAGGCAGAAACTGAAGGAGTTTGAGGCTTATGTCATGGAACAGATCAATAAATCTGCGGTATCTTCTGAGATTTTCTTGAAAGGTAGCAGTTTCATGCAATGGTGGAAAGAGTATGAGAAGATAATGGAGCCTGATTACAATTCACCATTGACAAACTTCGTGAAGAACAGTAAATTTCTGCAGTATGGTAGTGGATGCTTGACACTCGATTAACAAATACCAGTAATAATAGTCTTAGAGTGCATGGAATGTAAGATTACCGGTGGTATAAAAAGATTATCAGGGAATAGATTATTGAGAATGTTGTATTTTTTATTTGGTTGGTTTAGTAGGAATGTAAGATTATCGTGTTTGGTTAAAGGAATAAAAGATTATTGGAATGTATATTTTACCAAATTATCCTTATTATATATTTATTTTTTTAACAAGTACTATAATATTACTATAATTAATTTATATATTTTCTTTAAAAATTTTAAATTCATAAAATTTATATAATTTTTTTATAAAATTAAAAAGAAAAATAGGTTTAATGAAAGAGTAAAATTTTATTATAATCCTTGAACTTCATATAAAATACTAATTGTAGATTTTTTTTGTAAATCTAAAATAGATTAAAGATAAATTTTTAATTTAACTTTCGTAGAATTTTTATTATTCAACGACAGACAGAAGAAGGATAATTTTGAAAAAAAATAAAGGCATTTTAATCCAAAACGCCGATAATCCAATAATACTTAAAAGAAGGGATAATCATATTCCCGATAGTAAAATATTACCGAGAATAAAATTACCGACCAACCAAACGAAAGAATGAATGAAGATTTCATTATCCAGTAATATCTTAGGCCGTGAACCAAACGGCCCCTTAGTAGATTGCCGTGAATAATCTTAGAATGCTACAGCTTTTGGCTTCAACGAAGGTCTATGTTTTCATTCTTTTTGACGTGACCGTGTCCAACCTGTATTCAAATATGTATGATTGTAGAATTATGATCTATTAAATATACGAATTTTTTTCCAAAAGAATTAAATAAATCAGAATTCAAATAATATGATTGACATCAGTTTAATGTAATGTGACGTAAAACACATGAAATTTACATTTGTTATAAGAAAGAAGAAATGGTAAAATGCTTGAAGTACAGCCATTATTTTATTGCATAAAACATTGGAAGAAGAAACAAGAAAACAACGATGAAGATGGCAACAAAATGAAAGGTGATAGATGGGGACAAGATGTAGCTGTGTTTTGAATGGGGAATATGAGCTGTTTTTAGTCTACACATCCAATTAACCCACCTTTCAGTAGGGACCAACATGCACATGCACATGAAAACACTACCACACACCTTTTTTTCTAAAAAAAATTAAAATATTATATTTTTTTGGGTTAACTTCTTATCTTTTTTTGATTTTGTTTAATTGATGATGACATCAATTTTAATACTAATTATTGACGGTAAGTGATTATTAATTTTTTTGTTTTTTTTATATTATTTTATTTATTTTTTTTCTCTTCTTGAGTTTTTTTAATTTTAAATAAAAATCTATGTCTTTGTGACATGTTTTTCTCTACTCTTGTGACATTTTTTTTACTTTTGTGGCACGTTCCTTATGGTTTTTAGTATATTTTTAGCATATCTCTACAGTCATGTTGGTGCTCGCACAAAGATCCTCACGATATTTATTTTCTGATTGATTTGTCAGTGGTCATGTATTGTCGATGCTCGAGCAAAGTTTTTCTTTTAGTGTTGACGTCATTCTCCATAGAAGATTTTGCTTTAGTACGGATTTAATATTTTTGTTTTATGTGTGTGTGTTTTGTGACTATTGTTCCCAATTTATCTATGAATGTGTTATAATTTAATATTTTTCTATTATTTTTATTAGTTAATTGCATCATACGTCTTCAATCTATGACCATCATTTTAAATTGGTTCATAAACTTTTAAATATTTCAATTTCATCCTTAAACTATGACTATCATTTTAAATTAATCCTCAAACTTTTGAATATTTCATTTTCATCCCCAAAATGTGATATTCATTCAAAATTGGTCCCTAAACTTTTTGAATTTTTCAATTTTATCCTAAATTATATGTATATACTAATCACATCTCTTGTTAATTAAACAATTAGGCCAATTTATATTATTATATGTTTGAAAAAAATAAATTTTAGATTAAATTATTGTTGAAATCGATTATATATT